ACGTGAACGTATGCTGACTTAAATTTATCATCCCGCTTGAATTTCTTTTCCAGAGCTGACAACCTATTTTCTGCCATTTTTCGACTATCTGGTAGTTCCACATCCTCCTGCCTCCAAAGCAGGCCAGTCTCAAATTGGGAACCCTTTCTCACGGTTTTGCTTTCTAACAACTCTTTAGCTCTGACTGTATCTGCAGCCTCACAGTCCTGCACTCCTTCGCGCACACTGAGATCTTCGTTGATTAAATAGTCACTCACCAAACGCTCGAGCTTCTCCAGACGGTTATCCACCTTTACAAAGTGCACATAGTTGCACCGTTCTCCAACGCCTCGATTCCTGCCACCGTAGACAATCCAGCCGAGCTTCGTAAGTGTCACCGAGTAACCATCCACTCCATCGTCAACAGTCTTCCTTGAGATGCTCAAGTGTGCGTTGTCTAACCCAACCAACAGTTCAGGAACCGCTCCATCGTATTTCTTGATCGGCAAGTGACGATATTTGTACGGCACCTCTGACAGCTGGAGTGTTTGTGTCGGCAGTTGAAGGTTAGCCACGGTTCTAACATTCCGCAACAAAAACTTTCTATTGAACCTACCAACTCCGGATATTTGTACGTCAACCCTGCTTGACTGCTCTGTTACCGTGGTGTCGCCGAACCATTGCAACGTTAGATTTTCCTTCTGCCCTTTGAGCCCGAGGCGTCCAGCCAAGTCGCTATTCATCATTGATATTGCCGAACCATCATCGAAGAGGGCGAAACTGTTTATGACTCGCCCGTTGGCGTACAAACGCACTGGCAATATTTTGTACAGCAATCTCGAGCTCGGATTTGGAATAATGGCACTGGTGAGGACTTGTTGCCGTGTCGCAGCTTCCATTGGACGCCGTCCATCTGTTGTTCCTTGCTGGCGAGCGTGAAGTAGCTCGTGCTGCTTCCGCGTGCACCGGTCTATATTGCATCTGTGTTGTTCAGTGCAATCGGTGCCCCTGTGACCACTTCGCAAACAATTGAAACACAATCTCTTTTGTCGGACTAGACGCCATCTCTGACCCCACTGCATATCAATGAACCTTTTGCATCGGCTTATTATGTGTCTGCCTTCACATACAACACATATGCTTGCTTCACGATTACCACTGTTTATGTCCTGGGTATGAAAGAAACGCGCGCGAGCCTCGACTCTTCCGCTCTGTCTGGAATCCGAGTTCGTATTGACGCAAGCACTCGCCACCAACCTCGAAAGCTCTTGCAACCAGTCGCTGAAGTGACATATGTTCGGCCTCGGTACTATTGTCAAGGCATGCCTAGCCCAGTCGATCCTCTTTTGTATTGGTAACTTCGACAGCAGTTCATCCATGAGTGTCGGATTCGATAAGTGGTGATCGCAGTTGGCAGATTGTAAGAACCAGGATAAATTCTGTACCTTGGTAGCGAACGGCACAATTTGTTCAATGCGGTTTTCCACTATAGGAGCTACAGCCTGTATCTTTGCAATTTGGCTTTTCACCAGCTGCTCTGGCCTACCAAAACGGTCTTCAAGGGTACTAATAACGCGCAGCACGTTGCTGCTATGAAT